CCCCCAAAATTTATTTATTTATTTATTTATTTGACAGAGTTACAGACAGTGAGAGACAGAGAGAGAGGTCTTCCATCTGCTGGTTTACTCCCCAAATGGCCGCAATGACCAGAACTGGGCTGATCTGAAGCCAGGAACCAAGAGCCTCCTTCAGGTCTCCCATGCGAGTGCAGGGGTCCAAGAACGTGGACCATCTTCTACTGCTTTCCTAGGCCATCAGCAGAGAACTGGATCAGGAGAGGAGCAGCTGGGACTAGAACCGGAACACATATGGGATGCCAGCACTGTAGGCAGAGGATTAACCTACTGTGCCACAGTGCTGGCTCCAATAGGTGTTGCATTTTATATGGTGTCCTCACAGGTAAAATAATGCTCAAATATGTTTTCAGATTTCCCAGGCCATATATTAAAATGGTAGAGGATTTGACTGCTCTGGTGGATGGTGAAGAGTTGATGATTCATAGGTTAAGGAATGTAAGTGTGGATCAACATGGATGTTAATGCCATTCACATCGGTCCAGTGCATGCCTGATGCTGCCACGTACACAGCGGATGCAAAGATCATTTATTGTCCCTGGAGGGCTCACTATAGTAAGGTGACCAATAAAATCGAATATTTAAATAAATCGTAAGTGCCAGCGAAGGCATCCATAAACATATATAAGAGCATATGTAAGAGGGAAATGTGTTTTTCGAAGCCAAGGAAATGTTTCAGAGATGGTTTTTCTGAATCTAGTTGAAGGAGGGCGGAATAAAAAATATGGAGTTGATGTGTTCCCAGAAAACACATAGAATGTTCCAAAGCAAAGATGTGCCTTTACTTATGACTGCATTTGAAGATAGCATAAGGCTACAGAGTTGCAGAGCTCATGTCGTGACAGATTGTGTATGTCAGCCTATAGATTTTGGGATTTTACTGAATGGGGTGGGGAAGCTTTTAGAAGAGAGTTATATTTGAACTTCAAGGAGTTTTCTTTTGTGATAATCCTGTGAATGGGTTAGGGAGTTGCCATAACCTAAGGCAAAAAGACAATTCAGAAGGAGCTTGCAGTAAACTAAGAAATAGAAAGCACCTGGATTAAAATGAATTCAAGAAATATGGAGAAAGGAGAGATTAAAGAGATCTTAAGGATGTAGAGTAAACTGAACTGGATAAAGATGACTGGAGGGGCAGGTGTTTGATGTAGCTGTTAAGAACCCTCACATTGGCTCCAGCTTCCTGCTGGTGCAGACCATGGCACTCAGCCATGAGACTGCTAGAGTAATTGGGTTCCTGCCACTCACAGAAGAGACATCGATTGAGTGCCCAGTTCTTGGCTTTAGTGAGGCCCAGCTCTGACCTTTATGAGCATTTGGGAAATGAACCAGTAGATGGGAAGTCTGTCTATCTCTCTCCCTCTCTCCGTTTCTTTGTGAAAATAAAAAGAAAAAACAAGCAAACAAAAAAGGAAATGACTCCTATAGTTCTTCTGAGAAAAGAAGATCTTAAGCAATGGTTGTAATTTAAACAGAAAATATACATGGAGGATCAAAATTGGGATGTAAATGGTCCTTTTAAAAGCACTGAGGCTGAAGTCAAAGAACCTACAGTTAGGTGGATATTTCCAGAGATAAACGCACATGGAAAATTCAGCATGAAATTAGTATTAACTGCTGATTAAATTTTTTTAAATCTTTTTTTTTTTTTTTGATAGGCAGAGTGGACAGTGAGAGAGAGAGACAGAGAGAAAGGTCTTCCTTTGCCATTGGTTCACCCTCCAATGGCCACCGCGGCCGGCGCGCTGCGGCCGGCGCACCACGCTGATCCGATGGCAGGAGCCAGGTACTTCTCCTGGTCTCCCATGGGGTGCAGGGCCCAAGTACTTGGGCCATCCTCCACTGCACTCCCTGGCCACAGCAGAGAGCTGGCCTGGAAGAGGGGCAACTGGGACAGAATCCGACGCCCCGACTGGGACTAGAACCCGGGGTGCCGGCACTGCAAGGCAAAGGATTAGCCTAGTGAGCCGTGGCGCCGGCCTTGCTGATTAAAAATTAAGCTAAGAATGTATCTTCCAGATTTTCTGAGCGTTATCTGCCTCCAGCACAAATCATCTTCTATTCTGATGATTTTTGTTGCAATTAACACATTTTCCATGTCCTTCTTTTGCATATTTTGGAGATTTTTCTAGGATTTGATATTTCCTTGCCTCCCATTCTCACCAAATAATTCTCTGCCACCCCTAGGTGACTGAGTCTAATCCCAAGGTTCCAGGATTTCTTTGTGTTTCTGTTCCTAATAGTTCACTCATCTCAGACCATTCTTTTGTCATCATTCTACTCTAGATACTAATTTTTTTTTCTTTCCCAAGACTAAAATAATTGTGCCTAATGATAGATGCTGTAAAATACTGATAAGAATTTCTACCTGAAAAAGTTAGGACTGCAGGAAATTGAAAGTATCTATATTGTACTCTCAGTAAACCAAGTTTCCATTTCAGTGCAAAGATGTAAATTTAGGTCAACTCAGCAAACATGTATTGAGTGCCTCCTATATGCTTGGTAAAATAGTGGACATAAATAAAATGCAGATCATAGGTTGTCAAAGCCTACAAAGTTTAATAGAGAAGGCTTTCAAGTGGATCACTGAATAGCAATTTGGGCTTTTATAAATAAATTTATTTATTTATTTGAAGTGCAGTGCAGAGAGAAAAGAGGGAGAGAGAGAGAGAGATTTCAGCATTTGATGGTTCATGCCCGCAAAAACCCACAAGAGCCAAGACTGGGCCAGGACTGAGCCACAGTTCTGGAACACAATTTGGTCCACCAGTGAGATGGCAGATACCCAACCACTTGAGCTATCAATGGTTGCTTTCCAGGATACACACCAACAGGAAGCTGGATCAGATCAGAGTTAGAATTCAGGACCAGGCACTCTGACACACAATGTGGGCATCCCAAATGGTGTCCCAATCACTGCACCAAGCACCTACTGCTGCAACTTAGATATTTTTGTTAAAAAAAAAATAGGTAAGGTATCTAGATGTAGCACAAGAGAAGCACTGACCAACTCTATCTCTGGACAGAGTTCATTCAGAATGGAATTTACCCACTATGCTTCTAATTTTTTATGCATTCCTGATAATAATTCCACGTGAGCATTTAAAAATTAAAACTATATAAGAAGATATAGTTTTTAAAAATGTCTGCTGAATTTGTCATAAAAATCACTGGTAAGTTAGCAAGAAAAGTGAATTTGAATGGTTATTTTCACATAATGTCCATCCGTATAATTTCGCAATGTATTATGAAAAATGCATTCACTGAACACATTTCTTAGGGTTTCTTAGGTTTTTTGTAAATTCCAGGTTAAATTCTGTCACTGTTCTTTTGTTACACTAAAAGGACTACTTATAAATACATTATAATCATGTGTCCATTTTTTCATGTCAAGGAAAATGATTCAATTGCCATTTGTTATAAACCCATAAAAAAAGTTGTTACAGGATAAATGATTTCTCAGAACCACACCTAACTATGATATAATAGAATGAAATTTAAGAAGAAAGCAGCCAAGTTTTCCACAAAAAGTACTTTAATCAAAAAGAAACCTATTATAAAGTATGACTCTATTTCATTTTAACATGTAAATGCTGTCTCCTTTTGAAATTAAAATAACAGAAAGTCAGCACAATAGTTAGCAATTAAATGACGAAATATCAGATATTTTTCAGGGACACATACATGCAGGACTTTTTTAAAAATACCCTTGTTTGACTTCAGGAAGCCTAATAAGTTATTTTGTGTTTTAGATTTATAACAGAACTCTCAAATACAGTTCAAAGATTAGACATATTGGATCTTGAAATTTCAGGATGGTCATCCATTATAGCTGCAAGAAACATCATCTTTATGTGATGAACTTGGATGTTTCATAATGTACAAATGTATCTAAAATTGCATATTAAGATCCAGTGTTTATAAAAAGCTCAAGAAATTCAACAACAACAAAACAATCAATCAAGTTTAGAAATGGGCAAAGGACTTGAACAGGAATTTTTCAAGAGAGGAAATTCAAATGGTCAACATATATATGAAAAAATGCTCAGGATCACTAGCTGTGAGGGAAATGTAAATCCAAACCACAATGAGGTTCCATCTCACCTCAGTTAGAATGGCTCTCATACAGAAATCAACAAACAAAGTGAGGATGTGAGGTGAAAGGTGCCCTAATCCACTGTTGATGGGAATGAAACCTGGTTCAGCCACTATGGAATGCAGTATTGGAGTACCTCAGAAATGTGATTATACCTACCATATGATCCAGCCATCCCACTCCTTAGAATTTACCTAAACCAAAAGAAATTAGCAAATGAACAAGTAATCTGTACCCCATATTCATTACAACTCAATTTAAAATAGTTAAGATATGGAATCAACCCAGATGTCCATCAACTATTGATTAAAAAAAAAAAGAAGTTGTGATGTATATACACTATGGAGTACTATTCAGCTATTAAAAAAATGAAATCTTGTCTTTTACAACAAAATGGATGCAAGTGGAAACCATTATACTTAGTGAAATAAACAAATCCCCAAAAGACAGATATTATATGTTCTCCCTGATCTGTGGTAACTAATAAATTATCTAAAATGAAAAGTATTGGAATTAAATGGACATTTTGAGATTGGATGGTTGTTTAGAGCCCTTGTCTCTTCTTTTAAGAGACTTTTTTTTGTCTTCATACTATTTGCTGAACTCTTAATGTAGAGTTAACTTTATGATCATTCAGTAAACTTAAAGTATATCTTAGTAAAAAATTAAGAGTGGAAATGGGAGAGGGAGGAAGAAGAAAGGTTGGAGCATGGGTGGGAGGAAGGATAGGGTGGGAGGTATCACTATGTTGCTAAATGTTTATGTAGGAGATATAATGAAACTTGTATAACAAATAAATTTTTAAAAAATAAAATTGCATATTACTCAATGAATATATATAATTTTTATGCATCAGTTAAACTTTTTTTTGAATATTCAATACTTCACAAATTTGCAGGTCATCCTTGCACAGGGGTCATGCTAATTTTCTCTGTATACTCCAATTTTAGTACATGTGCTTCTGAAGCAAGCATTAGCAAAAATTTTAAATAAAACCACAATGTTATCTCTTACGTTACACATTTATGTTTCAAATGTAATTATAAATACACTTTTCAAATGAAAATATTTACAACTATTATTCGTTATTTTATCCAATGTTACTTAAACTAATTGTTTTTAATTTGTGCTTAGAATGTTTAATAAAAATATCCTTTAATGGCTCTTATAAAACCTGTTTATATTTTTGTAAAAATCCCTCAAAAATTCATCATTTTTACCCTACAAATGAGTGGCCTTAAAAATTCATGGAAAATATGTGTTACTAAAAAAAAGTATGCATAGATTTTAAAATGTTTTTATGCAAAAATAAAATTATCTTTTAATTCCTTTTTTTCATGAGTGTTTAAAGCTACCCTTGTATAGTTGTCATTTTGAGTAAATGGTTTATATGAAAAAAGAATGTCAAGCATGTATTCTATTTATATTTAACCGAAATAAATAAATGTAATGTTATGCACTCAAAGGCAAATTCTGAGTTATACGATGAGTAATACATTTGACTAATCATTGTCCCTGGAAACAAAGCCAAGAACTTCTTTTGCCTTTAAGCTTATGGTAGAATTGTTATAACTTTCATGCTATTAAATTAGCTCCAATCACTCAATACAGGATTACAATTGGAGACAGATGGTGCTGGATCCTTGGCGATGGATTACAGGATTTGGAAAAACAGATAAGATCTTATCAAACTGACAGAAATCATAGTGACAATCTTTAGCGTTTCAAACATTTAAACTATAATACAGTTTAGGTGATCAAATTCAATATGGGAGACAGCCTTTCTAACCTGAGCTATTACCTGCTGCCTCCTAGTGTGTGTATTAGCAAGAAACCAGAATTAGCAGTGGAGCCAGGGCTCCAACTCCTCAAACACTATGGACTGTGTCAAATGCCCTTTCCAAAAAGCGTTGTCTTGATGAATAATTAATATTGGTGGAAATGTGGTCTGTTGCAGTATTTAAAGGACTGAAAGCAATTAATTGGCTCTTGAGTGATGTATGCTAATTATTTTACTTTGTCCTAAATTATAAACTGTTAACTTTCAACTTAAATATTCCAGTTTCCAGACTGACATTGTGGCAATAGTGGGTTAAGCTGCCACCTGTCTCACTGGCATCCTATATAGAAGTCACTTCAAGTCCTGGCATCTCCGCCTCTGATCCAGCTTTCTGCTAATGCACCTGGGAATGCAATGGAAGATGATCCAAGTATTTTGTCTCCTGAACCCAAGTGCCCAAGTAGGAGAGCTGGACAAACCACTTGGCTCCTGGTTCAGCCTGGTCCAGCCCTAGCTGTTGCAGCCATTTGTGAAATGAACCAATAGATGGAACATTTTTCTTTCTCTCTCTCTCTCTGTAATTCTGCCTTTCAAATAAAATAAATCATTAATAAATAAATATTCCACATTTTCATCAATTTTTCTATATTTTTCTATAAAGCATACCATGTTTTGCATTTATAGTTTCATTTTTTTAACTTTTATTTAATGAATATAAATTTTCAAAGTACAGAATATTGATTACAATGGCTTCCCCCCCATAACTTCCCTCCAACCTGCAACCCTCCCCTTATCCACTCCCTCTCCCCTTCCATTCATATCAAGATTCATTTTCGATTCTCTTTATATACAGAAGATCAGTTTAGCATACATTAAGTAAAGATTTCAACAGTTTGCTCCCACACAGAAACATAAAGTGAAAAATACTGTTTGAATACTAGTTATAGCATTAAATCTCAATGTACAGCACACTAAGGACAAAGATCCTACATGAGGAGTAAGTGCACAGTGACTCCTGTTGTTGACACTGTCATTATAGGACACTACAATAATTATTTTGAATGCTTGCTAGGGGTCAACTAGTGACCTCTCAAAAATTATGGTATACATACACTTTGGAATACTACATATTGGGGTAAAAACATGAAGTCCTATCTTCTGCAAGAAAATGGATGCAACTGAAAACTATATACATAGTGAAATAAGCTAGTCCCAAAAAGACAAATATCATGTTTCCCCTAATACGTGATAACTAATCAAGTACCAAAAATATAATGTATAGGAGTTGAATGGACATTTTGAGACCCGATGATGTTCAGAGCTCTTGTCTCAACTGTTGAGGAACAGTGTTTTATTCTTCATACTATTTGTTGAACTCTTTACTTAGTGAAAAGTTAATCTTATGAGTATAAAGTAAACTGAAAATAGATCTTTATAAAAATTAAGAATGGGAGTAGGAGAGGGAGGAAGAAGAATGGCAGGAGTGTAGATGGGAGGGTAGCATGAGAAGTATTGCAATGTTCCCGAATCTGTTTATAGGAAATACATGAAATTTGTATACATTAAATAAATAAAAAGATAAGCTGCTATAAAAATATAAGTGATTTATTTTTGTGTGACATCATAAGATACGTTTGGATTTTGCATATTATTAAAAGGGAAGCAAATGTCAAAATTCCTACTTGCCTTTGGAGCTACCAAGTGTTTAATGGGAAGTATATTTGTATCCATTTTATTATGTCTATCAAACACTTATTTATTATTCTGTAAGTTTAATTTACAAATATTTCAAATTCTGTAACTGACATAATGCATTGAATACAAGTTTTTTTTTTTTAATTTCTTTTATTTATTTGTAAGACAGAGTTACATTGCTGGTTTACTCCCCAGATGGCCACAATGGCCAGAGCTGTGCCGATCCGAAGCCAGGAGCCAGGAGCTTCTTCTGGGTCACCCACATCGGTGCAGGGGCCTAAAGTCTTGGGCCATCTTCTACCGCTTTCCCAGGCCATGGCAGAGAGCTGGATTTGAAGAGGAGCAGCCAGGACTCGAACCGGCACCCATATGGGATGCCAGGGCTTTAGGCCAGGGCTTTAACCCGCTGTGCCACAGCACCGGCCCCTGAATAGAAGTATTTTAAAAAAAAGATTAACTATTTTTATATGTCTATGACATTATAATTTTTCCAGGTACATAGGCTAATGAGATTTATATTTACTTCCAGTTCACAGAGAGAAGATTTTTTCAGAGAACCGTGTGGCTGTTGTTCTTTGGGGACATCTGTCCCATAGTTTCCTAAAATTATAAAGAAATTATGGGGCATGTACTCTATAGAAATAGTTTAATATACTAAAACATCATACTTCCTTTATTTAAAAACATTTATTTACTGGAATAGCTGAGTGAAAGAGAAAGAGTAAAGATGGAGAGAGAGAAATCTTACATCTCTTGAGTCACTCCTCAAATGGCCACAAAAGTCAATTCTGGCCAAGGCTGAAGCCAGGAGACTGGAACTACATCTGGGTCTCCCGCAAGGGTGGTAGGGGCCAAGCACTTGAACCATCCTCTGCTGCTTTCTCAGGTGCATTAGCAGGGAGCTCCATCAGAAGTGAAGCAGCCAGGCTCTAAACTGGGACTTTGACAAGGGGTGCTGGCATCACAAGTGGTGGCTAACTCTAAAGCTGGGTCTCAGTGCCAGCCCTGACATTCAACCTTTCTTTGTATAGCTGAAGAAAAAAGTCTCAGAAGTAGTTTGCTTTGAGCCTTAACAAAATGGCATCTAGGAACACATACGACCAAACTCAGGTGTTTACAAAATATAGTTAATACCTTAAGCAGATTTGAACCAATCTTTTCTAATACACCACTGATGTTGTTATTTAAGATATCACAATAAATTCAAATTGATCCATTACAAGATAGGTCTCCTTTGGTTCTGTAATTTTGGAAATTCAAAACACACTTTTAAAAAAAACATTTATTGAGTAAATATAAATTTCCAAAGTACAGCTTATGGATTACAATGGCTTTTTCCCACCCATAACTTCCCTCTCACCCACAACCCTCCCAACTCCCGCTCCCTCACCCATTCCATTCACATCAAGAATCATTTTCAATTATCTTTATATACAGAAGATCAATTTAGTATATATTAAGTAAAGATTTCAACAATTTGCACCCACACAGAACATAAAGTGTAAAATACTGTTTCAGTACTAGTTATAACATTAATTCACATTGAACAACACATTAAGGACAGAGATCCTACATGGGGACATGGGGAGTAAGTGCACAGTGACTCCTGTTGTTGACTTAACAAATTGACACTCTTGTTTATGGTGTCAGTAATCTCCCTAGGCTCTTGTCATGAGTTACCAAGGCTATGGAAGCCTTTTGAGTTCGCCAACTTTGATCTTATTTAGACAAGGTCATAGTCAAAGTGGAAATTCTCTCTTCCCTTCAGAGAAAGGTACCTCCTTCTTTGATGGCCTGTTCTTTCTACTGGGATCTCACTCACAGAGATCTTTCATTTAGGTTTTTTTGTTGTTGTTGTTCTTTTTGTTGTTGTTGTTGTTTTTTGTTTTTTTGCCAAAGTGTCTGGGCTTTCCATGCCTAAAATACTCTCATGGGCTCTTTAGCCAGATCCGAATGCCTTAAGGGCTGATTCTGAGGCCAGAGTACCATTTAGGACATCTGCCACTCTATGAGTCTGCTGTGTATCCTGCTTCCCATGTTGGATCATTCTCTACCTTTTTTATTCTATCAGTTAGTATTATCAGACACTAGTCTTGTTTATGTGATCCCTTTGACTCTTAGACCTATCAGTATGATCAATTGTGAACTGAAATTGATCACTTTGACTAGTGAGATGACATTGGTACATGCTGCCTTGATGGGATTGAATTGGAATCCCCTGGCACATTTATAACTCTACCATTTGGGGCAAGTCAGCTTGAGCATGTCCCAAATTGTACATCTCCTCCCTCTCTTATTCCCACTCTTTCATTTAACAGAGATCACTTTTCAGTTAAATTTAAATACCTAAGAATAACTGTGTGTTAATTACATAGTTCAACCAATAGTATTAAGTAGGACAAAAATACTAAAAGGGATAAAGTAGTAAGTTGTATATCAACAGTCAGGACAAGGGCCAATCAAGTCACTGTTTCTCATAGTGTCCATTTCACTTCAACAGGTTTCCTTTTTGGTGCTTGGTTAGTTGTCACCAATCAGGGAGAACATATGATATTTGTCCCTCTGGGACTGGCTTAATTCACTCAGCATGATGTGTTGCAGATTCCTCCATTTTGTTGCAGATGACTGGATTTCATTGTTTTTGACTGCTGTATAGTATTCTATAGAGTACATGCCCCATAATTTCTTTATCCAGTCTACTCTTGATGGGCATTTGGGTTGATTCCAGGTCTTAGCTATTGTGAATTGAGCTGCAATAAACATTAAGGTGCAGAAAGCTTTTATGTTTGCCAGTTTAATTTCCTTTGGGTAAATTCCAAGGAGTGGGATGGCTGGGTTGTATGGTAGGGTTATATTCAGGTTTCTGAGGAATCTCCAGACTGACTTCCATAGTGGCTCAACCAGTTTGCATTCCCACCAACATTGGGTTAGCAAAACACACTTTTAAAGATACAATATCAAAACCAAAGTTTTAAGCATCAAAGTGAACTTATCCTACAGTAATTTTATTGTTTATTTTAAAAATGATTGCTTTTCATACTAGTTTTAATAAAGGCTAATTATAAAAGAAAAATATTTTCAATTAAGTAGTTGGTAATCTATTGAGTATGAATCTATCAATATTATTTGAAAATACATTAACCACTTGAGGGTTTACTAATTAGAGTTGCTTAATTTTTTTTAACTTTTATTTAATGAATATAAATTTCCAAAGTACAGCTTATGGATTACAATGGCTTCCCCCCCATAACTTCCCTCCCACCCGCAACACTCCCCTTTCCCACTCCCTCTCCCCTTCCATTCACGTCAAGATTCATTTTCAATAATTTTTAGCAATTGATCTACTCATTTCCTGAATAGTAATTGGGTTTCCAATTATGATCCAGGCTGGCTTCTGGAGCACACATTGATAAATAAGGTACGTATGACTTCCTGCCCGTAGGAGAGCACAGGTCCTCTTTGGAGCTAGAGAGGGTACAAGGCTGGAATCCAGTGAAAGGATTCACATGTTCAAGGACAGTATGACTGAGGCCGCATGAGCAGACAGAGGTTTTGCAATGGCACATCTGACATGAAGAGGAGTAAAGGAGGGGCAGTCTACACACAGTGTTGGTAAGAAGTCAAAGTGTTTGTAGGACTTGGGAGTGAGTTTCCATGCACATACTACATTCTTAAAGGATTGCTGTGGATAATGAATACAGAATGGATGAGGCGTTGGGGGTAGAGCATGACCCAAGCAGGGACCATAGTAGAAACAGATAGCACACATTCTTTGGAAAAGGAATCAGTGAAAGGACTTATTATAGATGGATTTGGAGGAAGTGAAAATAGGTTTCTTATGTTTTGGCCATGAGCAACTCGAAAGGATATAATGTGAAAGAAGTATCAAGAAGATATTGAATTTAAGATTTCTGTTATGATCCAAAAGAAGATGTCTAATATATGAATAAGAATTGAGGAGAGACTTGCAAACTGGAGATGTACTTACATATTTGGAAGTAACTGGGAGATTAATTAAAGATCTAAAACCAGCTTAGACTTTTTAATGCCACATATATTTATCCCCTCAAAAAACACATATTTCCAACTTACTATGACAAAGCCAAAAAATTCCTACCTCCATGTATATCACACGAAAATAGAACTTATCTTTTATTTTTGATCCAGATTAATTTGAATAAGAGACATCATTTTAAGGAAGAAAAAAGCATTATGTGAAAATATGGACATACATTTAAACTTTCAAAAAGTGCAACAAATTTCCATACTAAAGTTCTTCTAAATGTTGAATCAAAAAGGAAAGGTTACCATATCATCCATATACACTAAATTTTAAAGCAATCACAGATCATTAAAAAGAAAACAAAAAATAGGGAAGGAATGGAGGACAAAAGTCAAAAGCAAAGCAATGCTATGCTGAGTGTCAAGGTATAAACACTTCGCAGTCTGTGCTTAACCATGGCCTTATTTGTCACAGCTTTATTGGGAAATCTTATAAATGATGCATAAGACACAATAAGGAATGGAAACTCAGTGCTGTTAATATTCTGCAGTGTAGTTGAAATGGTTATATTAATCAGGACTTTCCAAAGTTCTGTATATGACATGAAGGAAGATGCTAACACAGTAAAAGGGCTTTGGGTCTGAAACTGACAGAAATACTCCAATTTGGAAGGAAATGAAAATTCTATACTTATAAAATAATGGGCTTGGGTTCCCCAAATGCACTACAGGTGTCACACCTTGTCATTGGCCGTGACTTACAGGAAAGATTACACTCATGATGGATCTCAGCACGGCAAAGGGTGAAAATGATGAAAAGGAAACAGCCAAGGAACAGCAGGTAACCAGAGCACCAGGCAAGGCACAGATAAAACCCAGAGAAAGAGTTAAGTTTCAGCGATTTGCACATACAATGAGCAGCCTGCTTCCTTGCTTTCATTAGCATCCAAAGAAGGCCACAGAGCACAGTTTGGCTCCCATAAATATTATTGCAATCCTAGGCTTTTAAATCAAGGTCACTCATAGCCAAGCACGATTAGGAAGTCAAGCCCAAAGGCATAATCTCACACCAGGGTCCTTCCTCTATCCCTCTGATAACACAAGCCCATATGAGTACCTAGGTTCTCACGATCATGCATGACAACACAGGGCCATTTTCAGACTTGCTTCCAGAAAGTGAGCCCCAGTCTTGAAATCCTCATGAGCACTTAGCACATTCTAGAGCTCCAGCCTGCTTTGTTTGCTCTGGAGATGGGGATGCTGCAAGTGAACCTGAAGCTTGTGGGTTGCTTATTGTTCCCAGCTGCAACACACGGCTGCCAGATAACTCACAGGACCCTCCCAGAGAAACTTGAATTCAGATAAACACTGGATTTTTCATTTTAGTGTAAGTATGTCCCCGATGTTGCAAACTGAATGTTCCGTATAATAAAACTTATTGGTTGTTTATCTGAAAGTCAGGTATCACTGTGTGTTCTGTATTTTTATTGCAGACTCTGAAGTGAGTCTCTCCTGACACTAACTGCCTGCTTGATCCCTAAGCACATTCCTTGGAGCTTCCTTCCTGGGCCAGTCAGTGGGCGTGGATGTCAGTGTCATGGTACTGTATCTCTAGCAACTTCTTCTTAAATCTTTTCTGAAGATCTGTCTCACCATACTTTTGATCCGAGTGAAAAACTGAGGTGTATGTCAAAAGTGCTTTGGATTTTAGCAGCCAAGTGGCAATGATTAACTTTCCAGAACAGGAAATTAATAAACCTCCCAAATCACTAATGAGGTCGTTTGAACAATTTATCTTAAAGACATACTAAAATCAAGGCAGGGTCATAAGAATTGCTTATAGTCTATTTTCTGAAGACAAGATGTTGCTCCAAGTTTGCCTCTGTGTTTCACTCCTCCTGGCTTAACTCTATGGGGTGAGAAGTATTATATTACAACTTAATGAAACTATACAATATAAACAAAGCAGGAATACTTTGTTAATTGTTGGCTATAGTGCATCAGTAAAAATAGAATAGAAATAGAGGAAATGTCATATTAAAGAAACTGAAATTTAGTGTTCTCTAGTCAGGACAATTGAGCACACATTTAAACATATCACATATCTTCCAGGAATGAATTCCAAAGACACCATGAGTTGGGCTACCAAGGGAGCCCTGCCACTACTATCAGGAAGGTACCACGTCATGAATTTCACCCTCACTGCCAGGATTCAGAAAGCTGACTCATTCAGGTACATGTTATGATCAGGAAGCCTTAGCTACTTCTACAGTCACTTACATGATTACACCTAGCTTATTATAAACCACATCAGCAAAATGGGTATCTCAAGCCCTGCCTCTGCACAACTGCAAAGTAAAAGATGGGAAGCTGAAACCACTGCCCCTTGCTTCAGAAAATGAAATGAACTTTGCAGCAACAACAGTGGTTTCTGCAAAAGCTTGGGTTCCACCTTCTAAGTGTCATGCAAAGCTTACCTTATTTGGCTAAACCTAAGCTCCATCCAGAACCCCAGTTGCAACCATATCTGGAAAGTTCAGTCTGTTGTCCAGCATCCAAATGCAAGGGTCACTAGAAAGAGAACAGATCACTTATTGTGTGCCAATCCACTACATCTGTATAGAACGTCATAATATTTTGTTAAAGCATGAAACAAAACAAAAAATCTAAAAGTGCATGTTCATATCAAATAGAATCACTGGGGCTGATGTTGTGCCACAGCAGGTTAAGCCTCCTCTTGCAATGCCAGCCTCCCATATGGGCACAAATTTGAGTCCTGTCTCCACTTCTGATCCAGCTCCCTGCTAATGTGCTTGGGAAAACAGAAGATATCTCAAGTGCTTGTGCCCCTGCTACCCCCATGGGAGACCAGGATATAGTTCTAGGCCCCTGGCTTGAGCCTGGCCCTGCCCTTGCCTTTGCAACAATTTGGTGAATGAACCCACTGATAGAAAATTCTCTCCTCTCCTCTCCCCTCCCATCCTCTCCTCTCCTTTCCTCTCCCCTCCCCTCCTCTCCTCTCCTCTCCTCTCCTCCCCTCTCCCTCTCCCTCTATCTCCATCTCCCTCTATCATCTCTTTTTTCTTTCTTTTTGACTCTGTCCTTCCCTCTCTATAAATCTCCCTTTCAAATAAGTAAATCCTCATTGTACTTAAGAAATGCATGAAATTTGTATTCATTAAAATGTTAAAAAGTAAATCTTAAAAAAACATACAGTAGCTGACTGTGAAATACTGACATTAAATAAATAAACCTTAAATAATGTAAATAGTAATAATTCTGTAAACTTGATATGATAAATGCTGAAAATAAATGCAGATTGGAAGGCTTGATACATTCATAGATAAGGGATAGAGTTTGCTAGGAGAAATGAGATGGTATAGTTTTTGTGTTTGCAACTTTTTGAAATTAATGCCCACACAATATATCTGGCTACTTAATTTGATCATTTAAGAGCCTCAGAAAAATATCAATGTACAGGCTACTTCCTAGACAAATTAAATCAGAGCACCTGGGTGCTCAAAAATCTCAGGTGAATGTAATATGCATCTAGTTTCAACACCATTAGTTTGGCTTGAAAATCAGATCTTAAGGAAATACAACTTTAATAACAAATTATGGACTATTGAACTCATGGATCTAACCTAGAATAGTAGTTATTACAGTGGTCTCCTTTTATCTGCAGGGAATGTGTTCCAACATCCCCCAGTAAATTCCCAAAACTGCAGCTAGTACATGGCCTAAAAACACCCCATGTCCTACATGACTATAACAAAGTTTCATTTATAAATTAGGCACAGTAGGAGATTAACAATGACCACTAATAAAATAGAACAACTATCATAATACATTGTCATAAAAGTCATGTGAATGTGGTTTCTCCAAAAATATTTTATTGGACTGTACTCACCTTTCTTCTTGTGATGAGATGATGCAATACCTTTGTGATGAGATGAAGAGTGGTGAATGGGGACTGGCAGTGGCACAGAAGGTAAAGCTGTCCCTTGTATCCCACATGTGCACTGGCTCCAAGCCCGGCTGCTCCACTTCTAATACAGCTGCCTGCTAAGCTTCCTGGGAAAGTAGCAGAAAATGGGCCAAGTGCTTGGACTTCTGCACCCTGTGGGAGACCTGGAAGAAGCTCCTGGCACAGCCCCAGCTGTTTAAGCCATTTGGGAGAGACCCAGTGGATGAATGCACTCGCTTGCTTGCTCTTTCTCTCACTCCCTCTCGGCCTTTCAAATAAACAAAATAAATCTCACAAAAAGGGTGGTGAATGATGTATACAAATGTAGCACCTTGATACAACAACCATCAGTCTGAACTGAAGCAGCTGAGTGATTCACAGGAAGATAGCACATACAGTGTGGATACACAGGACAAAAGCGTGATTCACATCCAGGTAGATGGCAGAAGATTTCTTCATACTGCTCAGAATGACTTGCAATTTAAAACCTACGAATCGTGTTTTATTTTTAAAAGATTTTATTTATTTGTTTGAGATGTAGATTTACAGACAGTGAGAGGGAGAGACAGAGAGAAAGGTCCTCCCTCCACTGGTTCACTCCCCAAATAGCTGCAACGTCCGGAGCTGCGCCTATCCAAAGCCAGGAGCCAGGTGCTTCCTCCTGGTCTCCCATGTGGGTGCAAGGTCCCGAGCACCTGGGCCATCTTCTACTGCTTTCCCAGGCCACAGCAGAGAGCTGGACTGGAAGAGGAGCAGCCGGGACCAGAACTGGCACCCACATGGGATGCTGGTGCCGCAGGCAGAGGATTAACCTAACCACACTCTATGAATTGTTTATTTCTGGAATTTCCCATGTAGTATTTTCAAGCTGCTGTTTACTTCAGGTAACAGAAATCACAGAAAGTCAAACTGGGAGGACTTCTGTCTGATTATTGGAAATGGGGCACATACTAAAACTTCATGGTACTTTTAGGGACAATTGTGCCAGAAAATAGTTTAACTGTGATTTTGATCCTTCTGGCTGATGATTTGAGTTGTACAGCTTTATTCATTTGGCAGAAAAACAAGCCATTTGATTACCCAACAATAGGAAAATTAGATAACAAATGGCAAGTTAAGCAGTCTTCTCTGACTACAGACAAGGCTTAGCAGGGACTCACGTTTAGAGATTCAAATTCTTGTTGTGCATGGACTAGTTTATGCATTTTTTTTACGAAACAGACATTACACCTTTGGGAGAAACTTCCCTTAAATTAATAACTTTGGAGATCTTTTTTAAAAGATTTTTATATTCCATTAATAGAATATGATCTGTAAAGTATATGATGTACCTAAATGAGAAAACTGTATATTCTCCAAGTTATCTTTTAGATGCTTCATATTAAATGTAAATATATATTGAAGAATTTGCTATGACCCAGTACCTACAGTTATGGTTAATATTCTGTGAAAACTGCATATGAATTCTCCTAAAATCCTTCTCAACATCTAGCACAGGATACTGCACACTATAAACAGTTAATAAATGATTTTATTAGGTTCAGACTTGAATTATTCAGTGAAAAGGGAAGATAATCAGTACCAAGTGAGGAAAAAGCACATTACTCATCTTCATGAAATTCTCTTTCCATAAACCCGAGGTTATTTCTACACAGTATGAAGGGGTTTTCAGGGTGGAGTTGCATTCCTTGTATTTTTCATCATTCCTTCAGGTTATCAAATGTCCCATTGGTATTTTATAGGTATTTATCTTTTAATTTATTTATTGAATCAAATTTCCACAGTTTACAAATAAAAAGGCTAGAAAATTTACAAGTTTTTAAGTTAAAAGAATTGGTACATTGCTAGTAGATGAAAAGAAATTATAGCATAGGGGACTGGCACTGTGGCTCAGCAGGTTAAGCCATGGCCTGCAGTGCCAGTACCCCATAGGGGTGCCAATACGAGTCCCAGCTGTTCCACTTCCAATCCAGCTCCCTGTTAATGCACCTGGGAAAGCAGCCAAAGGTGGCCCAAATCCCTGGGCCTTAGCACCCATGTAGGAGACCTGGATGAAGCTCTTGGCTCTTGGCTCCTGGCTTTGGCTAGCCCAAGTTGTTGCAGCTATTTAGGGAGTAAACCAGCAGATGGAAGATTCTCTTTCTCTCTCTCTCTCTCTCTCTCTCTCTCTCTCTCTTTCTCTCTCTCTGTAACTCTGCCTTTCAAATTAATAAATAAATGCTTTTAAAAAATTATAACATAGTAAATTTAAATAATCCCTTTAGCAATTTATAATTTTAAGGAGAACATAAAAATATAATATCCACCTCTCATATATTTCCTTACTTTTTGGCAGATATTCATGTTTACAGTCATCTTGATATCTAGGAACAGCCCAATGTATAAGGCATCACATCTCAACATAGCTTGACCTGCTGGACAGAACCCCACAGAGATCAAGCTTCATATTCACAAATAAATTTCTTTGAGCTTGATGATTTTCTAGTTCATGTTGCTATATTCTTATGCCATTGGACCATATTTTTTTTTTACAGGCAGAGTTAGACAGAGAGAGAGATAGAGACAGAGGCATAGAGAAAGGTCTTTCTTCCGTTGGTTCACTCCCCAAGTGGCCGCTATGCTGTTCCGATCCAAAGCCAGCAGCCAGGTGCTTCCTCCTGGTCTCCCATGTGGGTGCAGAGCCCAAGCACTTGGGCCATCCTCTATTGCCTTCCCGGGCCACAGCAGAGAGCTGGACTGGAAGAGGAGCAACTGGGACAGAACTGGTGCTCCAACCAGGACTAGAACCCGGGGTGCTGGTGCTGCAGGCGGAGGATTAGCCTAGTGAGCCATGGCACTGGCCCATTGGACCATATTTGTAATACTTAAGTATTTGGACCATTTTAATTTAACTACTTAGACTTCCTTAGACTACTCAGTAGAAACAAATTAGCTGGTCATGGTCTATGTATGTCCACAAGGCATTGTGCTTTGGATTGAACAACACAGCACCCTTCAAGTATTCACAAAGAGTGATGTCTGAAAATTTTGAAGTCAATTTAAGAAGCTCATTTGCAACTAGCATTCTGGAATTTTCTAGAAAGGAACTCTTATAGAGAATGAGGGGAGCAGCAGCATCTTGAGGCTGCAAGGGGGATAGGCACATTGTACCAGTACAAACACAGAAGAGGAGATAGCCCTGACAGATTCTAGCACCTGCTTCCTGTTGTCATAGGTGCCAAGTGGCATGAGCCAGTCTCTACAGAGTCTCCACTGGAAGAGTCTTAGAGTTGAGTTTTTCCCTTAGCTGCCCCCCTTCTAGGCTGTGTGTAGCAACTCCACTCACCCCTAACTCCTCTGAGGATTCTATAAGCCACAAAACATTCTTCAGTAGATCTCTCTCTGCTTAAAATAGAAAGAATTCTGCAGTCTACATCTCAAAATCCTAATCAGAGACCATTAAAGATGTTTGGGTAACCAGTGTTCCTTAAATACTTCAGGAACTTGGGAAGGTGTCTTAATGAAAATGATAGTAGGGCCACTTTGAAACACAGCACAAGTTGAGTTACATTGCAACTGAAGCTGCCTCCTAAGAAGCCTTTCCCATCAACTCCAGAGTCTTCAATGATTATCCATATTCAATAACTTCACCCGCTGAAAGTTACCTTGATTGTGGTTTCAGCCTTAGCTAAATAAAAATGCATAGGGTTTTGTAAAAAGAGCTTTTTATTGGCAATGGCCCGGCATTGAAGGCACCTGCTCTCAAGTCAGCTCAAACAGTGAAATCACAAACAGGATTATTCATTTGTTGAATTTAGTGCCAAGGGTGTGGGTTATGGCACAATAAGTTAAGTCACAGCTTATGATGCTGGCATCCCATATCTGAGCACTGGTTCGAGTCCTGGCTGCTCTGCATCCTCTCCAGCTGCCTGTTAATGCACTTGGGAAGGCAATGAAAGATGGCCCAAATGCTTGGGTCCCTGCCAGCCAGGAAGGAGACCCGGATAGAGTTCCTGACTCCTGGCTTCAGTCTGGCCCATCTCCAACTGTTGTGGCTATTTGGAAAGTGACCCAGTACATGAAAGATTATGTCTCCACCTCTATCTTTATCTCTATCTCTATCTCTATCTCTCTTTTCTTCTCTCCCTGCCCCAACACATGTATGTCTGTATGTGTATGTCTCCACCTCTAATGTTGTCTTTCAAATATATAGATAAAACATTAAAAATAAATATAATTGAAAACATCACTTTGATGATTTCATGCCCTATTACTCAGAGAGAATACAATTCACAGAGAGTATTACCTACACACTCATGAGGAAGTTATTAAAACCACTTTTGGACATGAAACGAAAAAGAAAAAAAAAAAACAATAAGGGTGTGATTAGTTTGGAGGAATGTACTCAATTGATTTACAACTGTTGCTAGAATTGTGGCTGGTACCAGGAAATCTGTACATACTTTCATCTTATCTAATAACTGCTGGAGAACAGAATGTCTTCAAAGTGCCAGGAGATATTTCCAACTCACTTCCAAACCTTCTCAGAACACAGCTAGTCGAAGCGGTTATTTCCCTAGGATTCTGACTAAAAGAGGTTGTGGGTAAGGAAGTTTTACACGGGTCTCCTCTTCAGAACAAGCAGCATTCCAAAGCAGAATGCTAGAAAGACTGATCAAATCACTCCATGATTTTCATTTAAACAACTTTTGATATCTACTGGTCAAGACTAGCTTCTACCTTGATATGGTTTCTGTTGCTCAACCTAACAGGGGGGCCGATATTGTAGCACAGGGGATGAAGCTGCCACCTGGAGCACCAGCATCCCATATAAATGCCAATTTGAGTCTGGGTTGCTTCCTGTCTAGCTCCCTGATAAAATACCTGGGAAAACAGTGGAAGATGGTAGCACCTGCCATCCATGAGAGAGACCTGGATGGAACTGCAGGTGCCTGGCTTCAGCCTGGCCCAGCCCCAGCTGTTGAGGCCAATCAGGAAGTGAACCAAGGGATGGAAGATTACTCTTGCCCACTGTCTCTCTTTATGTAACTGTTTTTCAAACAAATAAACAATCTTTTTTTTTAAATTAAGCATGATGATGATTGCCATCATCTGAGTAAAGACTCAGAAGTGAGAACTACACATTTTGTGGAA